CAATAAGTTCCACTGGATCCCATTTCGCTGTTCTCTAGTTGTTTCCTTCATGATTCAGTCCATAGCAAGTAGAACAAAAACGGTGCCATCAAACAACCTTGCTTGACCCCATGTTGACTCTGTTATCGTAAAAATAAGTAAAAAAAATAGGGATGATTGCAAAGCTGAGGTACTTCGTTCCCTCTACTGTCCTTGTAAATATTTACAATTCATTAATTCTACCTTATATAACTTATGGACTCCTTGCCTGGGGCAATGCGTCAAATGCTTATTTAAACAAGATTTTAGTTCTTCAAAAGCGAGTTTTGCGCTTAATCTATTTCACCGATCGAAGAGAGCATGCCATCCCTTTATTTGCCAAAGCAAAAATTCTGCCTGTTACGTTCCTATATTATGAAGCCGTAAGTAAACTTATGTTTGACGTGCACAACCAGAGGGCTCCCATTAATATTTTGAAACTATTTACTAAAACATCTCATATTCATACCTACAATACTCGATCATCCAAATCGCAGCTCTTTAGTACAAAGTACTCTAGACTTAACCTACAAAAAAAGGCTTTCTCGCGTGTTGGTGTCAAAATTTGGAATAAGATACCGAAAGAATTCAAAACGTTATCAAAACATTCCTTTAATAAACAAATAAAAACTTCTTTATTTCAGATACTAGATAATGAAGATTCTTATCTTGATGTTGAAAAGATCTCCTCTAAACTAAAGGACTGCATAATTAAAACAAATTGATCCGATTGCTTTCAGTACTAATTTATTTGCTTCTATACTTTATTGAACAACTATTGATGTATTTACCAGTTATGCTTCTCTTTATAATTTAACAATATCTAACTATTTAGTTTTTAATTTTCTTTATATATTGTAAATAATGTTTGTTGATGATTGACCCGCCTCGAATAGCAAATTTGCTATCTGCGGGTCAACATAATCTAAATTATTTTGTAAGAAAAAGAAAAAATAAAGTGTGTGTGTAAAAAAGTGTGTGTGTAACTCTTTAATAAGAATAATGGTAATTGATTTACAACATGTTTTGTCTCCTTATCTGTGGGTGAAGAGATCTCCTGGCGGTATCATACTTTGAGACAAAGAAAATGAGGAGATTGTCTGGAAAGACCAAAACAGAAACATGATGATTTATGAAAATACGTCAGGATTTGCAATGCATTCATTCATTCATTCATTCGTGTGGATAATTTTAATGGTGGGTGATGATGAGAAACGGAGACAGTTGTAATCGAAAAATGCCATATATTAATTAAATTGCACCATGAATCATCTTGTCAGGAGCTTCAAGACAGAAAAGGCCTTTACATGCTGGTGCTGGTTCAAGACAGAAAAGGCCTTTACATGCTGGTGCGCGTGCAACTACAAGTTTATTATTGTCCAATAGTAAAACAGTGGACATCGAGCCTGTAATATTTCAGCGGGACAAACGTTATAGCCCTCAATAAAAAGGACGAGCATTTGCGAAAATTGCATGAGGATAAAAATCATATTTCGACGCGCTAACAGTTTCATACTTTTCAGGTAGTAAAGGCTCTATGTAGAATATATGTATTTTCGTGAAACTCAAATCCATAACTCGTGCTTCTCACATTCAGTTACTTACCAAAGGACATAAGCCAAGTCGGAGCTGACCTTTACAACTAGGGGTGAAAGACAGGAAACCATCGCAAAACCATATCTTTCTTTCGCCGATAAAAAATAGGCTTAGAAAGATAAGGCTACGCATCAAGCTCTGCTTCTGTTCTTTTGGAAATTTTTTTCTTGCAGAGTGCATCTCGCAACCAACTTGCAACGTCAACTCGCTTCGCCTTCAAACTGAAAGACTTTGCCTTAGGTGAAGTCACATCGCCGAACTTATTTGGAGTTAATCAAAACAAAAATATCGCGTCATCCCACACTCCCAAAATCAAACTCGTTCTGTACTAACCTAGTTATAGTTAAGAATTCTTTGATGGTCAGAAAGCAGACACACCTATAACCGATCCAACAAGGACCCAAAAAAATAAACAGTGTCGATACTTAGTTCGACCTTGTGTAAGTATTACATGTTAGTAGCATCTAAGTTGGAAGTCGACATAGGGCGGCATAACGACGCTTTGGTGAGACCGCACTTCACGTTAAAGGAGAGGTCACTCAGCAAGGGCGTACCCTTACCCGTAACCTTCATTCATACCCAGCAAGCACTGTGCCCTTACTTAACGAATACGTGAACCTTATTCGTCGTTTGGTTTTGTTGCCCTCATGCCGATCTGACGGGAAAAAAAAAGGAATATTTTCTTTGAAAGTTTTTATCTCTAACCCTTTGATTGTCATAAACACAGATTAACTCACTTGGCTTTCAAGTACTCTTTAATCATTAAAAAAATTGTCAACGATCCTAACAAAAATTTTATTCACTTGATAGTTTCTTTGAGGTTAAAAATGCAATACTTTAAACTAAGAAATATATCAAACTTTTTGACGAAATTTTGCTCATAACTGATGTTGTTTGTTCTATTGACCCAGGAAAGTAAACTGAAGAGGCAATCGGTTCGTTATCTTGATAATTATGATAAAACCTCAAACCGTACATCGGAAAAGTAATTAGGTCAGGAGTACAAAACGTTAAAGTTAAAAATTACATTTTAAGTAGAACACATCGGCCACTAAACAAATTTCTCAACGTACATTTCAAGTGAACAACCTAAAAATTTGATTGAGAAAAACAGGATACGGATTTGAAAGAGCTGTTTCCGTTTTTTTTTTTTTTTTTTCCATTTAGCGCTATGGAAGTGATCAAATTACCTCGAATTTCAATTTCTCTTTTCAAAAAAATGAATATATTTAAAATAAAATGACAAGACTTGAATAAAATGAGGACTTAGGACTAATTGAAATGATTTTTGACCCTCAACAACGTTTTTAGATTGGTGTTCATCCGCATTCTTATCTGCAATTCCAAATTCTATTGTACAAATTTTGCTCTCAAGTTTATTTTGCGTCTCAAGAGCACGTGCGCAACAATAATCATTTGTATCAGAGAAGGTTCCAAAATTATGATGAATAAAAACCTGCCCGCGATTTAAAGATCAACCAACAGATTTCTTATCTGTTAAATCGAAACTTACTACCTTAGGCAATATTAAATAGCGGAAATATTGCGACTTGGCTGAGTGATATGACCGGTAGCATCTGTCAAAACTGTATGAAATTTCATTAAGTTTATTTACAAACTAATACAAGCATCTTTGCTATTGGTTTGTACAGTGCGTTAGGTTCTACAGTACTTTATGCAAATTCTTTAGTAGGAAGACTAGGCTCTCTTTGCTCTGAATTTTAAGACACCCGTTTCGTAAGATAAATCATAATAACCGTAAACTCATTGTCAAAGTTTTAGGTAGCCCAAGTTATGTCTCACGAAAATATCACAGCATTCAGGGGCAATAATGAATCCGATCTTGATTCTGCTTGTTACGATCTTAACAACACATCCTCGGTAATTTGGCAAGTCGTCGGCTTTGCTTTTATCTTCTTAACATCTCTCATGGGCAACACAATGGTGGCTATTGTGGTGTACAGAGGCCGAAGGATGAAAACAACCGTGAACTTTCTGATTGTGAATATGGCTGTTTCGGATCTCTTAAATACTATCCTCGTTGTTCCGAAAAGTATCACACGCATATTTACCTATTCAGAGGCATGGTTTATTACTGGAGAGATGGGTGACGCCTCATGCAGAATAGTTCACTTTTTACAAGACGTTACAGTTGCCGTGTCTCTACTAAGCCTCCTGATGATTGCAATTGAGCGTTTTTATGCCGTTTCTTGTCCAGTCGTGGCAAACCCCGCTCCAGATAAGCGATGTGCATTTATGATACTTTCTACTTGGCTGGTGGCGTTTCTTATGTACATCACAGATTTGCTCTCGTTTAAGTTGATCGTCGAGGAGGAAGAATCAATTTGCTCCCATAGTTGGGAAGATCTGGTGGCAAATCCAGCCAAAGCCACCACAATTGAGTTCCTTTTGAATACAAATCTGGCCTTGATAATTCCATTCATCATTGTAACCACCTTCTATTCATTAATCCTAAGGAAAATTAGACGCATTTCTGTTCCAGATGATGTAAGTTCCTTAGGATTAAAACGTCAACGGAAGCGTAACCGAAGTGTAATTCGTATCTTGCTTGCAGTGGTTATATCGTTCGGCGTTTGTTGGTTTCCCTTCATAATTTACACATATACATTTATTTTCGGTTATTTCAACAAGGACCAACACAACTTTCCTTGTGGTTTGGAAATCTATGGGAAAATAGCATTGATTATGGCGTATCTGCAGTCATCTGTGAACCCCGTCATTTACTTTGTGTTCAGTGAAAATTATAGACAAGGACTTAAAAGGTTCATCCGCCACTGCTTACCTCTCTCCATTAAGAAACCATCAAATTTGAACAAAAAAGCCACAAAGCCGTTTAAAGGGACTAAACGCGGGTTTTGGCCCGGGAACGGAGTGGTTCAATGTCCAGATGTCGAACTACGCAATTTCGACAAGTTGTGATTTATTGTAAGAGTTGTAGAGCAGCATTTTTTAACAAATTTTCTTCAGCATAGCCTTGTTTGTTCATCAGCATTCTCTCACAGTTCAAGGGAAATATAAGAGAGAGATAAAATGAGTTTAATTTCATGTGAGAATAAACTCTTGGAAACTGCAATTAAAAAAAAAATTAGTCAGAACATAACCTTTCTAAAATTGTACTCGTGAGGACGAGCAAAATTTTCAGAGGTAAATACTGATTCTGAAAAGCAAGAAATATGATATTTAGTCAACAGAATTTAAATATCAAGTTGTTTTGTTCTGCTAAACACCTTTCCACCTCCTTGTTTGCCATTACCTATGACAAACCATCTGTTAGTTCCCATTGGCTAGCCAGAACACTTAACCAAAACAATTCAATGACGTTTGTTTATTAAAAACACTTATTTAATTTTTCCCCTGATCCTTTTTCTAGTTTCAGCTGTGCAACTTGCATTCAATATTTGTATAAATTTCATAAGAAGTTTGGCTCTAAGAGTGAAGGGAACTTTCAAGATGACTCGAGTTTGATAACTTTCAGACAAGTTCAAAGTTGTGTCGGGAATGACAGAACTGCTTTTTCAACAAAAGCAATCAGAAGTTGTTTAGGCAAAAGGTTACATAAATTTGAATCATTTGAAAGCGTCTACGCCTTGTCTTTATTATTCATCTCTCATTGTAAAGTGACTTGCTTCTTGGAAGAAAGCTAGTGAGCTCGTCTCTGCAAAATTTTAAGGAATACCCTTAAGAGTTAATTTGACATTTTGAAAGATGAGAGGTTTGAAATTGGCAGTTTGCATGTAATTCTTGGTGTGTTGCGCGCAGTGAAACGACTGCTCGCGTGCGATTCGAATATTTCCCAAATCATCCTCTGACGACTCCGCCACTTTTTGAAGATGTCTAAGTCTTCTGCACTTCAAACCCAGCAGTATAATAATAGAAAGTTTTAACCATTTGAAATTAATTAGTATAACATACGAGGATATCACGTATAAATTTTCCAGGATTTAGATCAATTTGTAAAAATATTTTTAAACCTTACTCTGATGAGATCCTGTCGATGATTAATTTTCTCTAACCATTAACCCATTTAGATGTAAATTATTCGGAAAGGCTAAACAGTTTTCAAGTTATAGGTAATCATTCACCTCGACTCCGCCAGGATCATCTGGCTACGGAAAAACTAATAACAAAAGGAAGCAGATCCTCCAAATTGCCAGTGTTATATTTTCTCATGGATACCCTGGCAACAGGGGTCTCTGTGTGTTTGCTTCCAGATCATCTGCGAATGCTATAATTTACCGATGGAAATTTACCTAGAATTTCGGAAGAGGGATATTTACAATGATTCAAATGAAGCCCTTCCGATAACAGCAGCTGTCTGACAGAACTTAGATTAAAAGTTTGCTTAAGCAGTGTACACTTCTTTTTGATTGGCTAAGTTTAAAATAAATTAGGCCTTCTTTCCCGTACTTTGTCTTACCATGTATGTTAACAGTACAAGTGAATTAACAAAGGTTGGATATTATTTTATTTCATTTAACGCCTGTATTCCCGGTAACAAATTGCTACGCCACGTGCCTTTTTAACATGAATACGGACACACATATCAAGAATGAGAACGGGACCAATACCTCTCTCCCTTGTAACTTCATGGATAAAACAATTGCAGACATTTGTAGGACCATCGTCTGCGCTCTTATCCTGACAACATCGATGATTGGTAACACAATGGTTGCCATTGTCGTTTACCGAGACCGAAAAATGAGAACTACAGTAAATTTTCTGATAGTTAACATGGCTGTTTCTGATTTCCTGTGCTCAGTTGTCGTTATTCCAAGGGTCTTGACTGAGATTCACACCTACCATGGATCTTGGTTGATTAGGGGAACTACAGGTCTAGTGTTATGCAAGGTGGTGCACTTTTTACAAGATGTCACCGTGGCTGTGTCATTGTTGACGCTGCTCGTGATTGCTATTGAACGTTACAACGCCATCTCTTGTCCATTCCTTCTTGATACCATTCCAAAGAAACGGTGTGCGGTGATGATACTGTCTACCTGGGTTCTAGCTTTTTTGATGTATATAACGAATTTTTTCACATTTGAATTTTCCATTGTGGAAGAAGGTCCATCATGTCATCATAGCTGGGACCGGTTGGTATCAGATCCGAAAAAGGCGACAGAAATAGAATCCCTTGTCCACACGATTATGGCTTTGATGATTCCTTTCGTCGTCGTGATCGCCTTTTACACCGTAATTCTTATTAGAATCAAGAGAACGCCGGTTCCTGGTGATCAAACTTCGATTGGACGAAGGCGAAAACGAAGGCGCGACAGAAACATCCTTAACATATTGCTAGCAATCGTCCTTGCATTCGGTTTCTGCTGGTTTCCATTTATAGTTTACACGTATTTGGTAACTTACATTTGGATAAAGAAGGACTTAAACATAGAAATTCCTTGTTACATGGAAACCTTTGGAGAATGGGCGCTCTATTTGACATTTCTAAATTCGTCGGTAAATCCTGTCATTTACTTTACCTTTTGTGAAAACTATCGAAATGGACTCTACAAACTTTTTTGGTCATGTTTGTCACCTTTTAGTGACAAATATGCTCCATCAAGGGTTCAAGCTGGTGTATACCGGAGCAATAGAAGGGTGCCTCGGGATGAGAAAGAGTACATTCATTTGCAAGTTCAAAATCCTTGATATTTCAAAACATTTATCATCGCTATGGCAAAATCTCGAAGATGAGCGCCATATAACAGAGACATTTCATATTCTCCTGGAAAGAGCTCTTATAGAAGGTTGCGAAAAAAATTCAAGAAACCAGAAAAACGATTAATTTGAATTCATATCTCTTTATGAATTTAAACTTTAGAAAAAAATATATCCGTACAAATATTGATTCACAGGTAACATGACACTGCGAAATTATGAAACATATTGAGAAGACAAACGTGTTACTGGGAATCACTATCTATTTCGTTAGCTCCTTTTTTTTCCCTACAAATTTTAGCTATAAAATACAGCTTCTAAAACTCATTGATCTTGGGATGAAATATAATCCTGCAGGATAATTAAGGTGAAGTTGACATTTAGTTTCCACAAAAGTTATGAAATGATAAGTGCGGCCAGATGAAGCAAATATCTTGCAGCCATTAGCCGTTCAGTTGATTTGATGATCTCACTTTTCAGAGTTTCCCGCAAGGTTTTCCTCGATCCTTTTGCTTTTAAAAAAGCGAAAAAGCGTATTTCACGTGCGAAGCGAAATAAGAGAAACGAGTGGCAAAATTATATTTAGGCGAAAGGAGTAATTGATAGAATGATTTCTAGCAAATTAAATATGACAGGTGTTTATGAATCCGAGGTGAGACCGAATCCATTAAAACTAAAAATTGACTTAAAGTAAAAATAAAATCATAAAATTTTCACTTTACAGACTTTGCAATTTTTTCTAGTATCTCACATGTATACTTTTATGGGGGCTCACGCATAAGTATATTTCAATTGAAACTGTCTGTAGTTTGAAAAGATTAGTCTTCAGAGCTACGATACAGTATTTGACATTTCGTAAGGATTGAACAACGAGGCACTCAAGTTTCATCTCCAGATCACAAGTATAGATCAGGTGGGTTTAACTACCTTGAAAGTGCATTTGGATGTTAACACTCTTTATGATATAATTTTACAGTAATTTTTTTCTGGTGTCTTACACTTTGCCTATCAAAGCGCCATTTATCTTTTCCATTTCTTGGCAATCTAGCTATTTTATCATTACGATCCGTGCTTCTGTTGTGCAAATCGATTTTCCTAAAAGTATTATGAGCCACCTTCGATTATGTTTTAAAGAAATGCTTGATTTTACTTGAAAGAAAATCTCAGATGAATTACGGCGGCAAGTCATACAAGACCGCAAGAAAATTTTCCTATATATATTGCAATCTACATGTCTTTATTGTCACTGGGCAAACAGGACGTTTACCCTTATTTTTGGAACAATTTGGGCTGACGCAAAATTTTAATACTTAATATGGAAAAAAGTGACAAACGATTGCATTATTAAGGTGTAGGAGGCTTTACTGAAAAAAACTTTACGCTCGCTTGAAACGTCGAACTATATTTGTTCCGACCCAAGTAACTAAGTTCGCCGACAGTTGATTCAGACGTCGAACTTAATTAAGTCCAACCTAAATGCTGAGGTGTAAAATAAACCATTACAGTCACGGTTTACTGTTGAACTAATTGAGTCGGACCGAAGATTTAACATGGCGGAGATGCCTCAAGAAAGTATGGGAAACAACTCGTCAGAATTTCTTCTCGTCAGTGCCATCCATAAATGAAGATAACGCCTAAACATGCTGACGGTGTGGAATAACTTAGAGCTCGGAGGAGGAAAGTATTGAATCCTTGTTTTCTTCTTCTACTGCTGATTTCATCTCAACGAAACAGCAAGACCACTGCGTCTCGCTCTTGTCGTCGGTTCACTAGAAACATTGAATGGTGGGAGAATGCTTGGAATAACCGGTCGAAGGTTTAGGAAATATTTTTGATTTCTTAGTTAACATTTACGTACACAAAAAAACGCACCGGTCCATCTCTTGCCAGAGAAGCAGTGACAGAGAAACCGATTTCCTAAGAACTGTGGGTAGCCCTTCGCTCAATTCTTTCAGGCCGCGGCTATTACCATTGCAGAGATTGCAGATCTCGGAGTATCCACGGTGTGTTTAATCGTTAGTGTGAGTTTACGATGCTGTGATTCTAGAAGACGCCGCGATCTGTCTTGGTGGTCGCGTCGGGCCTGGCGGCTCGCATGTAAAATAGTTTACGATCGATTCCGGTCACGACGACGCGGCGAATCCTATTGGCGGGAAAATTTCACAATGCGCTAGTTTGAGATCAGCTCACCAAACATCGCAGCCACACGAGCAAGCACAGTACGTGAAACGTTTCTTAGCCTTTTTTCTTTTGTAATAGGAAATTATGCCAAAGTTAAGAGAGACCAGGATCTCCCTTCCTTATGCGTACGGTTCAAGTGTCATAAATTATGAAGAATTTGTTTTGCTGTACGGTATCAACACTGCAAAAAAACTTTCCACGTACTGTGCTTGCTTGTGTGGCTGCGATGTTTGGTGAGCTGATCTCAAACTGGTGCATTGTGAAATTTTCCCGGCAATAGGATTCGCCGCGTCGTCGTGACCGGAATCGTAAACTATTTTACATGCGAGCCGCCAGGCCCGACGCGACTACCAAGACAGATCGCGGCATCTTCTAGAATCCCAGCATCGTAAACTCACTGTTATGTACCTTCGGCCGCGGCGTCGCGAACATTTTCGGATCGTACAAAAGACTCACTAATCATGCCGGGCTGGCGCGTGCTGTGAAGCGGAACTTTGCCGCCCGCTGTTATTTGAAATTGAACAACGGAATACAAATAAAAGTACAAAACAGTTTTCAAAATGACGGCAGAAAATATTATATTGAACGCCAATGATTTCCTGCGTCCACTACGTAATGAAGTCGGTAATTTCTTCTTGTTTGAAGGAGAAGTGGAAACAGCTCTCAATTCAATTTTTTGAAAAATACTGTGTGGGTCAAAGCTCTTTGAAACGAGCTAAGATATCACGAATTCCAGTGTCAGCACTCCTCGAAGGAGAAATAAAGATGTGGCTAAACATGCTCCATGGAGGCCTAAGTCTAAGAATTGAGGCCCGAAGTGCTTGGGCCTCAGAGTTCAAACGGGCGATATCCTCGGAAATTTTTTCCTTAATTTTATAGAATGTAAAAAAGGCTCGTTCCGCTTATGATGTTTCGCACAAAAAAGAAAAACACACAGATGTAATCTACTATCACCGAGAGAAAAGACTTATTCGAGATTTTGCCTAGTTATCCGAGCTCTGCAGCGACTCAGTCCGAGAATTCCTAATGAAGAAGAGTAAAGGAACATTTAAAGGAACTTCAAAAGTTTCCATAAGTTCTGAAACGCCTTTCACCATCACATTTATCAAGAGGACACAGCAAGAAGTGGTGAAAGCTCATTACAAATTCACTAATGAATTTGGCTACACCTTCCCATAAGCATATAAGTAATGAGAACTCGACTGAATGGAGTATATTTCAGGATGTTTGTAATTATAAGTAGTCGTAACATTATGCACTCGGCCGATTTAAGTTACTTGCCTTGCCTTAATTGTACTCCACTCTGCGTAGTTACCAGTGAATCCTATTAAAATACCATAGACGTGCTACATCAATATTTGAAACAATGTTGGAATGCCGTTTAGTTTGAGTTCCAATCAGTTTGATTCGTTTGGTTGGGGCAAATTTTAAACAAAACCATACAACAGAAGGGTGATCAGTGTAATTTATTCAACACTATCTTAAAGGTCCTACCTGCTGCTAATACAATATATAATAATATAATCCCAAGTCAACAGTGGTTTTGAAACAGATTGTATACAGATTTAGCTTTAAATTACAAAAGCTGTGGAGCAGTATTTCCATCCTTAACACTATGCTCAATAAATTTTATGATTGGGTCTCCACAGAAACAGCACTTAACATCCCCAGGACATGCCTTTAACAAACCACAATAGCAATAAGAGGATCACTGAATACTCTTTCTGGGATGTAGGCTACATTTTTGCATGCAGCTTCTGGCTGCTGAAAACCTTGCTGAGGCAGCCAAATCAACATTACACATAAATTTTTTCAAGTGCTACTCTTTTTTTAAATGCTTCAACCTTGTAGATAACATTTACTCTTTACTGGTAAATCCAGGGCTTCCTCTTGTTTGACCTGTCAATTCCAAAGGTACCTTTCACATGCCTAAAATCAGCTAATAAAACATTTACTTCCACCACTTGCCCAAAATACTTTGATGCAAAAATTCTCTAATATTCGAAATATAAAACATTCTCAAAGCAGCAATACTAATTTAGGTAAAATTTCCGCACAGCCCCATACTATTGTCAAACAAATCTGTTTTCCCTATGGCAATGTATTGTTTTTGTCATTGTTTTCTCTGTCCAAGAACTGAATGCATAATGTAGTATGGGGCTGTGCGGAAATTTTACCCTAATTTACGTTAAAATGACAAATTAAATATGTTATCTCGCCTTTTCCTGGGCTCGTTGGACTTTTTTGTACTATGTCAATAGCTTGCGATTTTCATTAACAGCTTTCTCTCTTGCAACATTCCAATCTTTCATGTATTGAGCCAAGTTAAAGCGCGTGTTCTTTTTGGGCGGCATCCCAAATATTAACTCATTAAAAACTAAGAAAAGAATGCAAAATTAGTAAAACCAAAAATCATAGATTTCTATTCAAGGCTTTGAAGTTTATATTCGTAACAAAATTTCTCGGATAAGAAGAAATATTTAAAAGACTATCCGGGTCAAAAATACGATATGAACGGTAAACAAACCTTACCTTCCCTTTTACTATTTCCTCTGCTGTCTCTTTTCAAACGAACATCGAAGAAATTATTGTATGTTTTGGCATCAAAACGACGGGAAAAACTGTTTACTTTCAGCAAATTTGAGTTTTGTCGCCTTCGGGCTAACCCAAGGACCGCTCGGAGGCATTTTTCGACAGGCATTGAACTCAGTTCCAGTCTTCTCTAATAAACACACGGTCACAGACGCCATATTTGTGGACAATATTTGTTCCGTGAATATGAGAGGGATCCTCGCAGTAATAAACACTACTTGAGCAGTAGCGAAAATAAGGCCTGGAAAAAATTCAGGCCTGTACTGGATTTGAACCCATGACCTCTGCGATACCGGTGCAGCGCTCTTCCAACTGAGCTAATAAGCCAACTGGGAGCTGGTCATTATGTTGGTTCCAAACAAACCCGTGAAGTGATGAATAAACGGCTGTGAATATATGAAAGTCATATATTTGAACTGCGGATAAAGACGAGAATAATAGAGGGATCTTCGCAGTAATAAACGCCTCATAGCGCGCGCCAGCCCGGCGTGAATGAGGTCTGCAAGTCCTTGTTGACCACCTATGGTGAGAGTGTGCATATAGTCATATGCCCAAGACTCAGGATGATCCCAAAGAAAAAATGTTGGATGAGGAAGAGATTTTTCAGTTGCCTTGCTGCTAGGCAATAATAGACAGTTGTCTTTAAAATTCATCCCCATACAAAATGAATTTTTATCTTACGCTTCTACAATAATCAATATATCGTTGGCTTGGGTAATTTCCATATTTCATATTGATTACTATATCATTAATCAAATGTCAATTAAGTCCCTAGAATTTTTGTTGCAGTAGCAGCTCCATCAGCTGACAAATTTTACGGGCTCCCTGCAATAAATTTACCAATAACCATAACCATTACGATTTGTTCAAACGTGATTGATGCATTGGCTGCTTTGGTTCTTACCTATTATTCTGTAGAGTTGTAATCGGACAGAGGAATCGGACAGTTAAAGCAGCCAATCATAATTGGTCCATGCCATTAGCTAAAACCACAAATCGCAGAATTGATTACAATAACCATAGCAACGAACCAAGTACCCTCCTAAACTAAGATATTTCCAAAATAAGAGGAGGTTTTTATTTGAGACAATGTCTCTACCGGAAGTTTTAACTGTATTGATTATGATTAATTAGTAACAGGACTTCCTAACGTATCCACTGTATGGATTGTGTTCATTTCCAATAAAAGGTATGCTAATAAGGCTGGCATTAAGTCTGTAGCTAAGCAAAAGCTGAAACAGTTTACGCTCGTGTCTCTTTGATAGGGTTGTTTGGAACAATCTCAAGGTTCAACGTTTCTATTGTTGCTGAATCTATTCAGTATCTTTTTTGATTACTGCTTTCTTCGTTTTAAATATAATAAAGAGCCTTTCTTTTTCGCCTTGCCAACTACTTTTAAACAGGGTGGTGAGCCACTTGCCAAATCTTTCATCTGCTTGAAATCTCTTAATTTCAGTTGCAGTTTTTTGCGTCGAGGCTGCCTGCCTTATCTTGATTCGCAGATAAATCAAAGTGTAGTCCTTCGCGGGTGCAAAAAAAAATTAACACGCTATTTGAAGCATAACCACCACAAACTAAATATTAATAGAAATGCCCTATTTGACCGAAGCTATTTCGTTTTAGCTTGATCTCATCGTAAACCGAATAGGGCGCGACAACTCGAAATGGACTATGTTTCTTTGAGCGAATTAATCCCATATTTGACCGCACAAATAAACATTCTACTCAAAAGCAGACAGAGAATAAAGATCTCCACGTGCAACAGAAACCAGATGTTTTCGCGATTGAAATCCAAGGACCAGGATGTTTTTCCGCAAGAAAGCGTCCGGGAGTCATTTCTGTTGACATGTTAAAATTGGATATTCACTGTTTGGCGAGCCAAAAAATTCAGTTCGAAAATACGTTTTTGTAAATACGTCACACGCTTTTCCATATTTTAACAAAACTTTTCTTAGTAACTATAGTAAAAATAATAATGTTTAGTTTGACATGAAATAAAAAATAAAAAAAAAAACGTCTATCCTAAGCAGACTCCCACTCCAAACTTATTTAAAATTTCTTCATGCAGCTGTTTATTTTTTCTGATGCTTGGTATTTGTGACAATAGGTTTTAATTTTATATATGTGCTGTTACTCACAATGACATAAATAACATCATCAAGTGCTCATGGAGACCATTTGGCTTTCGAAACTGGCTTCCTTTTCCTCTTTGTTTACGTCGTATAATTCCCCACTCCCTTATCCTCTTCATCCATCTGACTCAGCCATTCATTAACATAAATTATTTTACTGCCATCCACCACAATGTAATCAGTATTTTTTTTTCACAAATTTATTCTACTGTGCACACAAACCATGTACCTAGAGACAAACGAGATTGTGGGAATTAATTTCAAAACTAATGTATGCATAGTGTGTGCATTTGGTTCGGCACGTGAAAGGTACACGTATGAATCGAAGTTGATCTTTTATCGTTCTAGTCGACAGGGTCAGTTGAAAATTGGGTTCGGTTCATTTAAGGTTGAACGTTTGAACTGGGCCTATCTTTCTAATGCTTTGTTTTTATTTTCTTAACGCCAAGGGGGTATTAGTTGTGAATGCCAATCACCAAGTAAGATATGAATAAATTTGAATTGCCAACTTTTCTGGTTATTTGTTGTTGCAGAAATATCAAAAACCTTCTAAATCAGCTTTCCACTCGAAAAGCAACTTCTGACAAATTGGACCCTTTTGAAATTATCCAAAGCTAATGCTGTGTTTTATGCAGAAAATTACAGAATTTTAACTTCAAAAGCAGTATTTAAACGTTGCCACAATTTGAGCACGTTTAGCTAAGGGATGAAAATTGCGAATGAAAAATACACACCGGCAGAAGCACAAGAAACAAAGTAGCAGTTATCGATTTCTAAATTGTGTTTTCCTTTAGAACCGACTAAAATATGACTACAAAAATGAAGAACAGGTGAAGAAAGAGTACTGCACGTTCGAGGTGTCGCTGACGTATATCCGCCGGTCGATTCCTTTGATAAAGAAAGCGCATTTTTATAACTTTTCCTCTCACAGGAAGGATGTGCTTCCGAATTTGAGTTTTCAAAAAGGTGAAATATCTGGATTCTTTTTTAAGTTGATGTAAACGATTCCGCGTGGCAGTAAACATTTTTAAAATATTTACACATTTAACACATATTCACTAGTAATCTCAAAGTATTAGGTGAGAAGTGTCAACAAAATAGGCCTGCCTTTCTTGGATTTACGTAAATTTTCATTGTGTGCCATTGCTTTATTTTTAGTTTAACGCAAGCAATGGCTTATCCATGGTTTTTCTGTAAACTGGAAGAACAAAAAGCCCTATGTCCTTGTCAAACCAATTAAAGAAAAGCGACCTTACGCAAACATAATTTAAAATGTACCTGTGGTTGCGCGCCCCTCAGCGAGGAAACAAGAGTATGCATATTGTTTAAATGCTTTTTTTTAACTTTATAGGAAAAGAGCAATACGTGGGAAAACAGCGGAAGCTAAGGTTTATTTAAACTTTGAAAAGCATTTTTTTTTTTTGCTGCTAATCGTGATTGATCGTTAATTTGTTTCTAGAATGTGATCTCCCATCCCTTACAAGTTTAAACACAATTTCAATTTAATCTGAAATTTTTGGACATGGGCGGATACCAATATTGACTTTGGTTGGTAAACATTCAGAAAACCAAACAGAACGTTTCTTTTATAGTCGCCCGCGTGCTAATGGCCTGCCACACGTCTTTCAATCTTTACGAGCACAGTCGATCGGCGTTCTTGAACCCGAATATAAAATCGTAGCTTAAAGCAATTGGCCAGTCAAGATGAGCAATAACGCCACAGCTAACGGAACTGCGACATCTATTAATTGCTCAGAATATCCCACAGCGGAAAGGGTGGCTAAAACCTTGGCATACTGTGTTATAATCGTTGTATCTCTCACTGGAAATATTCTTATCGGATCAATCGTGTTCAAAGTAAAATCCATGAGAAGAACCATCAACTACCTCATCGTTAACATGGCTATGTCCGACCTTATTCTTCCAATATTTGCTGTCCCGAGGATTCTCACACGATTGTACCTCGGCTACTGGCTCATAGATGGACATTTTGGTTCGGCGCTTTGTAAACTGGTGTACTTCTTACAAGACGTCTCCAACGCTGTATCTATACAGTCATTGGTCTTGATAGCAGTGGATCGATTTGGAGCCGTAGTGTTTCCTCTCCGTCGACCAGTTGTCAGCGCCAAGCTTTGCCCGTATTTTATATTATCGACGTGGATTGTTGCCATGGCTCTTCATTCCCCATACTTCTTTGCCCGCAAACTTGACTACTCAGAAGGACTACTAAGATGTGCTCTGCAGTGGGAGGAAGCCTTCGGAGAATCATCCTCTGAAGCGAGCTACTATGTAGCAATGTTTCTATTATTGGCGGTGATTCCTTTCGCGTTGATGTCAATACTTTATTCCATCATCATCCTGAATCTCAGGGCTCAAAAGATACCAGGAGGGGAATCAGTGAGGGCAGAAGAACTTGAAAAACGAATGAAGAGGGACAGAAGCGTGCTTCAGATGGTCCTAGCCATCGTTATGGGATTTGCATTGTGCTGGGCTCCGTTCAACATTTTTGCGTTTTTGAACTTTTTTGTATGGCACAAACCTCCTAAGCCAAGCTGCAGCATACAGCATTTTGCTTTCTTTGCAAGATTCATGGCTTACGCGAATTGTGCCATCAACCCATGTATCTGTTTTATATTCAGCGGTAATTACCGAGAAGGCCTGAAGAGTTTATTTGGTTGTTGCTCTCCCAAGTGCGACATTAATTCATGTTTCTGTCCATTGCGTGGGCAATCGTGGAATGTCCAAAGCATGTCATCAGATGAACTAAGAGAAGTCACGTTGGCTACTCACGCATAGAACTCGGAAAAGAAAACTGAAAGTTTAAATTTGGTGGCTTCATTGAAAGCTAAAATTGTTTTCAACTCTATCGTTGTCTCTTTGGCCTTAATCTTTGTAAATATTTAAAGAGATTCATTTTATGTGACAGCGGCTTTGCCAAACAATTCCGTAATTTTCGCATACTTCCTATCCTAATGACGGTTATTGTTTATATGTTTCCTTGGAATTGGCAGCTGTCATTTGTTATTCAATCTTCAAAAAATAATGTAAATAATTTTAGTCGTCCGCTATTTACATTGCAAACAATTTCTGTTCAAAAACTATATCCCTCGATGCGACTCACAGGCTTTTTATAAAATATTCGATAGTCTAAAGCTTTGGTAAATGTATAAAGTTGTATAAAGCTACTACGCGAAAAGAAAATCGAATAGTACAGGAACAAATAACAGCAGTTCTAGCAGTCTCCGAGATCAAATCACTTCAACCCATATCTGAAAGAGTGACTTTCCTAACAAGGCCAAAGGGACCAAAGGTCTGTCAGCTAGACTGTTGTGGGATTTCATAACTTCCTGAACATAAAAGCAGGGCTCACGCGAAGTGTACGCAGCGTAGCCCCATGTTAACAAAAATAGTGGTAACCAATCCAGCCGAAAATTTGGTAGGGTGTGACTGTACGTCCGTACGTACAAGGTGCAACTTTTAGTTTGCGTAACCAACTGAATTGCGGGATCAAATCTTACCATTACGTAAGCACAAGGGAAACAGTGATAGCATGCGCAAAACAGCATGCGCGATTGCGCGCGTAACTTAGAAATACCAGGGCTAATATAGGATGGGTGATGAAACGAGCGGTCCACTCCTCGTGTAAAGTGACAGAGTAGGACTGGCACGGGAGTCTCTACGCGGTTGCGACGGCAACGAGGACTTGGAAAAACAAAAGACCTAATTGGCAGAACAATAGCTCAGCACGTGCGTTGAAAAACTTTGTATTTCGGTTCCGGTGCGACGGCAACGAGGACATGGAAAAACAAAAGACCTAATCGGCAGAACAATAGCTCAGCACGTGCGTTTAAAAACTTTGTACATTTCTTAGCCGTCCTATGCAAAACAACAACGTGAAATAACCACAATTTGCGTCGTCTGCGAACCGAAACCGCGATGGCAAATTGTTTTTATTTCCATTTGGAACTCAACGTTTCTTTTATACGTTATGCTGAAGTTAAGGCGTGGTGCCGTATGAGACAGTAAACACATGCACCATTTTTGAAATTCTAATTAAAGGCAGAAATTTATTTTTTAATCGAAGTCTTCCTTGGCGCTGCTGTCCTGACTGCTTCAGTATGATCCCTATTAGGGACCTTTAGCAAACCACGACTGCGACGGCAACGAGGACTTGGCAAAATAGAAGATCTAATGGGCAGAACAATAGCTCAGCATATGCGTTTTAAAACATTTCTTAGTCGTCCTCTGCAAAATAACAACGTGAAATCATCAAAATTCACGTGGTCCGAGAAAGGAAACCCCGACAGTAGATTATTTAAGTTTCCATTTGGAGCTCAACGCCGCTCTCATACGCTAGGCTGAGGTTAACTTGTGGCGCGGTAAGAGATGGTAAACACATCCAGTCATTTGCGAAATTTTCAACTAAAAATATGTATTCATTTGCTTCCTTGGCGTTGCCGTCCTAACTGCTAAAGGTCCCTATTAAGTCGTCAATGTCCAGAATCTCTTTCTCTTTCTCTTTCTTCTAAAACTTTCTAGTAATGTGCCATGGTTAAGCAAGTGTTTGACGGCCTTGTCACGCTGCTCAATGAGCTTATATCTGCATTAATTTTTATTGATATTTCTTGGTGCAAGTGGCTAAAAATTCTACTTCACTTTGAAGTTTTCAAAAGTTTGCTTTGGCTTCGGATCACGACCTTGTTGTCGGCGTATATCGGAAAAGCGACTGTTCCCAATTCCCACCACCCCCAAATCCTACACATGCTATAGAGCGATAAGCTTTCGTTGATATAGGAAAAATTTGGCTGGAGATAAATGGGGATAACAGAGTTAAATATTATCAAAGTTCTTTACTTTTGTTGAAACCAACTCGTGGATTACCACGCCATTACATGTAAACAAACAAGATCTTTTAAGGCGTCAAAAAAAATTATCTTCAGCTAGTAAAGATGAATTGAAGCTGAAGCAAAAACGTATCTGCATTTGAATGGAGAGTCACAGGAAAGACTGTAGATAGTAAACGTTGTTAATTAGATAGATAATGGCAAGGTTAATTTACTTTTTCAGGTTAGCATAATTAAAAAGCAGCACGATCTGAAAATATGGGTTATCATTGAAAGGAGATCGATGTCGTCGTTGTGCCTGCTCGTATCTGCAATTTGAATGGAGAGTCACAGGAAAGACTGTAGATAGTAAACGTTATTAATTAGATAGATAATGGCAAGGTTAATTCACTTTTTAAGGTTAGCAAATTAAAAAGCAGCACGATCTGAAAATATAGGTTATCATTGAAAGGAGATCAATGTCGCCGTTGGGCCTGCTCGATGTTCACGCACTATTTTAGCTGCTCTCTCCAAACATATCAGGGAACTCACAACGCGCAAAGATCGCGCAGCATACTTATAAGAAATGGTAGTAACCATCAAGCCGAAAAATTTGGTTTGGTATTCGACCGTACGTCCGTACAAGGTGCTACTATTAACATCCGCGGCCAACTGGAATGCGGCACAAGTTTAGCCATTAAGTAACTGGAAAGGGGAGGGGTAAGGTAATGTGTCGGCGCGATTGCGAGCACAACTTGAAAATTCCACTCGTGTGCCTCAGGAAACACTGGTAGAATATGATTAAAAGCGAATGCTAGAGTGCCGAACTTAGGTGCAGCGTGCCGCGGGCACAACGTTAAGCGTTGTACGAGGGCTTCACGCGGAGCCGCTAAGGAAAGAATTTTTAGGTGGAATCAGCTTTGTTGCAAGGTAAACAACCTACGCTGATCGATTAAAAATGGTCGAAACTGTTTTCAATTTCTAATCGTGAATGAAGAAAACGTCTAAGGAGCAATACATGTCCATAGTGATAATATATATGCATATGCATACTACGCCTTTGAATGATCGGGATTTTGATAAAACTGATAATCATACCAGTTCGTAGAGATTGCTTTTTATTTTTAGTGAACATCTTTCAACAAAAAGAAAGTGCATCAATGAAAATCCTGTCTTTCAATCTGATCTAAGCCAGAATAATTCCATAGCTAGTTTTTTGTGGCTTCATAACAGAACTTTGGAGCACGAAATCTGATATTCTGATGTTTGGGTTTGACTTTCCGAGCAGGATTTGGATGTTTTTTCTGATAAAGTAAAGCTGATAAAGTAAAGCAAATAATACATGTATTCTCGTGTGTTAGAACACAATGCACACCATCATCGTTTTTTAGTATTACGAAAAGCAAACAGCATATTTTTTTTCTATCTTTTCTTTAGTCCCACTGTGTTCAAGTTTCAGTCCAACACCTGTTACAACTTATTGTATTCGAAATAGGTAAACCCTTGGACCTCAAAATACTGCTAAATCCGAATAACGTATTTTTTGTGTGTGTTGTAAGAGCACAATGAAAGTTTATCTGATCACAGTTTTTTGGTTTTTTAAGTTTCCCTCTTTGTTTCCTCTAATAATTCAAGGCGCGTGTCGTGGAAGATCGTTATTAATTTGCCTATCAGGGCTTCTTCTAGTCGGTCGTAACGAGCTGAAAGTGAACGCGGAAAAACAGACAAGCGAGCATGTGTGACTGCTCGCCGTTTTAAGCGCACCCACTTTTTCGCTCTTCTCTAATAATTGGGAGCCTGGCATAGGCTAAAAATTGTATTTGTGTTCCTCCTTGAAGGGATATCAATGCTTTGAATGCTTTCCACGATTAGCAAAGTTCTTGAAAAAAATATTAATAAATTATAAATCAATGGCAACTTGCTTTCTCTATGTCAATACGGCTTTCGACCAGGAAATTCAACATGCAGCTGTTTACTTGATATTACTGAAGAACTTGATACTTTTCTTCGTCAGGGAAACTATGGTGCCTTTAGTTTCTTAGACTTAAGTAAAGTTTTCGATATTGCTAACACCTCATTTTATTAAACAAGCTTAATTATTATGGATTACAAGAAAGAGAAATGAGCTGGTTTTGGTGCAAGTGCATATCAATATGCAATATGCATATCATATGCAAGTGCATATCAACAATGTTACCTAAGATTTAACCTTAACTCTACTGGTGTACCTCAACATTCATTATTAGCACCTCTCTTATTTCTTATTTGTATTAATGACTTCATCAAGTCTACTGCTTACTTTTCAACAAGAGTACATTTAGATGACATAATATTAATGGCCTCTGAAAGCAATCTTGATGTTTTATTAACTGATATAAACAACCATCTGTGACAAAATACCGTTAGAAGTATGCAGGCATAAATTACCGAGCTCTATATACAAGCGGCGAACATAAGCATGTGCGGTTGAACTTATCACAATGAGCGCGCGACTTAAGGTTATATAACAATAAGCGGATTCGGGGTATAGTCAGCGATTTCGCGGTCTTTGAACGTTTGACTGCTGGCTTTTTTTAACTTAAACTTATCGTTACACCATCTACCTGATGTCTACAAATGGTTGAGCAGTAAAAAATTAACCGTAAACCTTACTAAAACTCAGTATCTCATTTTTATCCCCAGTCAAATGGAAAATTTTAATTTGTATCCACCGTTAACTGTATTGTAGCAAATGTTTGTTTATAGTAGGCTTCAGGCATCAAGTACCTTACTGTTTATATCAACTGCCATCTTACTTGGCATGACCACATTGATTACATCTGTGGCAAAATTAGCAAAGATCTAGACGTTTTGACAAAATTAAAGCATTGCTTATCAACTGCAACAATTATCTAAGTGTTTATTTTCTCTTATTTATCCTTATCTTAGATATGGCTGTACACTGTGGGTTGATAACTATAGTGATCCTCTATCTAAAGTTATCAAGTTAAGGTGCAAAGTTAGTAAAATTATTTATCATGTGCCTTTAATGGCTCAATCAATCCACATTACGTGTCTCTAGGTTTCTTGAAACTTCCCGATTTTGTTAAACTTGCTACATGTTTACTCAGTTTTTTTTTATGAATATCTTAATAACGACAATTTTTCAGCCTAAATATTTCTCTTATATCTGAGCTAGATGATCATAATAGCACTTGCAGTGTATGCCTAAATCCACTATTAATACCATCATATTGCACAAACATTAGATTTTACCCATCAATTATCGGTACATATTTCTGGAATAGTATTCCTTAAACAATTAGAGAAAAACTAACTAAAAAATTGTTAAAAAGACAATTTTAAAATTACCATTTAGTTCAATACTAACATGTATAATTGCTTAGTTTCCAATTCTTTTGCAAATACTCGTCTTGATGTTGAACTACAATGACCAACTATTTTGACCACTCGTACCGAGATAAAAACAGTTCACATCTTTCTCTTAAAAAGTGTTACTCGAAACTCGTGCGAGTTGATTAAAGCGAGATAAAGCACCGGTCAAATGATTTCACACGCGCACTTATATGGATAATTTGCGATTATAAAATGGAGAATTTAAATGAGACGCAGTTTTTCGCAGTTTGTAAAGGAAATTCGAATTTTCTAAGGCCGAGACTTATATATGCACATTGTTCAGTACTAGACTTAACCCATTTTGTGGTGGTTTAAAATCTCGCACTTTCTTTCACACTTTGTACGACGGCGTGCTGAAGTCGTCCGTAAGCTTAGCCGCACTGGCAGTATTTATTATTTGGTGCGTTTGGATCGTTGGATAATTGACACAAAAACACCAGGAAACCATCAATCGTATAATCAACAACTTTATTTGAAGGAATTATTCGATCTGAAACATACAATTATGCAATGTAATTATGAAACATTCGAGTATTTACAACACCGATTATAAAAGTGGACAATAAACCGACAGTACAAGCTAAACTAATTGAAACTTACTTCTGTCGCCGGTTTCCCGTTGAATTGATCACGGTGTAACTTCTATAAAACTGGTTAGCAAACGCGTGTAAGAACTAAACTGAACTGAACTGAAACCTAATGAACTTGATATGGAAAACGATTAAAAGTGTCAATTACATTGTTTGTGATCATTGTCAATCATAAATAATATTTTGTCACCGTTGCCGGTCTACACCGAGGCAAATGTGTGAAAAATGAAGAACCAGAGCCACACAAGATATCCGTGGTGATAAACAGGTCTATATTAACGGTGGTCAGTAGACTGTGCAGTAAGGGTAGAAGTCATTGGTTGTTATCTTTGCCGCTCCGTGGGTTTGTGAGAAAAAGTATCAATTCCCGGATAATAAATAACAACGGCGCGCAAAGCACAGTGGTTGAGCTTGGTTACATACAAATTTCTTGCGCAATTCTATCTCTGAGGGTTTTTTTTCCTTTTAAAGACAACATTTTACATTACTTGGAGCAGTAGCCCTAGTCAAAACTTCTATGTTGCTTGGTGTTTCTCGCTTTCCACTACTCTATCTTTGCTTTCACAATCGGTGTGTAATTTCGTAGAGGAGACCACTTGAACTAATCCGGCTTCATTTCTGGGAATGGATGTCAGCTCAAATGCTTCACGACGTTTTGGGATGAATCTAACAATTGCCTTCCGAACTCTGGACTGGAGGAGTAAACCAGATATGGCATTGCACAGACTACGGCGATAAATTCCCAAGAAGCAAAAATATATAAACGGATTGAAAGCGGTGTTGGCGATCACAAGGAACTCAGCAGTGAATGCAAAAGCAGATGAGGTGCACCACGCCTTTTGAGATTCCCCGAAAAATGTCAAAAGAAGCAGATTAATATTGAGTGGAGCCCAACAAATAGCAAATATTACAACAATCGTCACCGCCATTCTCAACACATTTTTGTGCATTTTATCGCGGGAAATTCCTCCGCGAACTTGGCCCCTTATAATATTCTTTTGCCTTAGCAAAACTAACACTATAACTGTGTATATGCCAGCTAAAAGACTAAATGGAATTAAAATCACCGAAATACAAAGAAAGGTGATATAGAATTTCCCAGTCGAGGGCTCTTCAAAAGCAGGCTCCCAGGATGCAATGCAGTACACTTCAGAGTTAAATTCAAATAGTTTGAAGATGTAGAAGTATGGAGCAAGAATGGCTGCGCTGACCAACCAAGACAAAATGATTATAATCACCCGTAACCTGTATGTGACCATTTTGGCGCGGAGGGGAAATGCGACGGCCACTAGTCTTTCTAGGGATATTAAAACCAGTGTAAGAGTTGAGACCACACCGGAAAAATCCTGCATGAACGTCTGCAGCTTGCAAGTCATTTCTCCTGTTACTCCAGAGAGAATCCATTTGGCTGAGGGTAATTCCAGAGCAATTTGTACAACTCTTCTAGGAATCATAAATACTGACGTGAACAAGTCTGAGATGGCCATATTCAGAACCAAAAGGTTGATGTTTCGTTTCAGATTCTTGCTT